CCTATCCAAAATGAAAGAAGGATCTCCTTTTTTGGATTGGACGCTACATCAACGTTATTACACGAAATATTCCTGGCATCTCTTCTCTTATTCCAACTGTCCATTATTTACCAAATTTTAAAGTCTATTGGCTTGGTCGATATTATTGTTTAAAGAGATTTGCATATTATCCTGTCAATAAAGAAATTCTTTGGTTACTCTCCTACAAAATAAGTATCAAATATATCGTTGCTGAAACTATTCAACTCAGACAATTCAAACTTTCACAACAGGAAATTTTAAACTTATGAGAAATTCTTCGACCTTCTACTTATTTGTTATCTGTTTTAGGTCAAATAATTGATACAATAGAAATTGAATTATTCTCTTCGATGGGATGCATTTACTTTAATATTCACTTTTGAAGTAAGTAAAAATGGATGTCATTCAGAAATTGGTGTTTAAAACCTGTAAGGAAGGATTATTACGTGAAATTTCACGTAAGACTTTGTTTAACATGATAAGGATATTCTCATTCCTTTCCGAATTTTGACTTCAATATCGAGGAAGAAGTTTTTTTTTCATTTTAACCTGTCACAATATTTACTCACTTTTTGTTTCTATCCCTTTCTCCTCCTTTAATTTTCTCACTTCTAACTTTTGACTTATTTGCATATCAAATTTACAATGTCTTAGACCTTTTCATCCTCTTCAATTCTTGGGACATTTTTTTTCAACCTTACTATCATTTAAAGGTTTTTTTGAAACTTATCTTCCATTCTATCAATTCTTTGATAACATTAACTGACAAAAAAAAGAAAAAAGGAATTTTTTTATTATAAAGAACAGTATGACCATGGTGGTTTCATTTATATACAACAGAATAGTGTGAAAGAGAAAATTTTGAAATCATCTAGAGTTTATTATAAGTTCGAGAAAAATCCCAAACTTTTGTTTTCGAATTTTTCTCTAAAACTGAAAAATTTTCAGATACGGTAGCAAAATATGAACTTCATTGAAAAGAAAAAGATCTAATGAAAAGCAGGGATGGTTCAAATTTCCGGGTATACCGGGACAAGTTATTGATTAAATTCTGATACTGATCGATTCAAGCATTATATATATTTGTGAAACAGATAACGGTGGCTCAAATATAGCGAATGTAATGGACGGAAATTATTAAATGTATCGATTAAAAAGGCAAAATAAATGCATATTTAAAAGGGCTGAAGTAATTCCAGGCATGAATTGATCAGTAATAGATAATTATTAGCAGCATCACCGAATCGAACTTCAAAAATTCTTTTTCACGAAACTTGATCACCAGCCATGGACTCTCAACATATTCTTTGGTTAAAAAAAAAAAAGAGAAAAAAGGTAGGAGAAGTAAAACGAAAATAATATTCATAAAACAGAATAACTAAATGAAATACATTGGATGAATTAAAACGGAACTGAATTTCACTGGAAAATCTGGACTTTCCGGAAAAAAACGAGTTTGCTTATCCGGAAATAGTTATGAATGATTTATAATACTTTCAACTTTCGAAACAATCAAACATTTGAACTCAGTTATTTAGTCGTTTTAAATCTACATTTTGACATGTTGGTGAGATTGGAGCTTAAGCTTTTTCAATATCAAGAAAGAAGTAAATTGTGGAAAAAA